CTTAATGTGAAAGTACTCTCTAGATAAAGCTGGCTTCAGTGAAAAAACAAGTCTTATGCAGCACATTTAGCTACTATAGTGGAAGTAGATCGAACCCTACCGTGGGTAGGGGATGGTGAAAGTGCACTGCATTCTCAGTGTAAAATTGTGACCCATCTTTGAGTATTTTATATGCATGTTTTATTTTGCAGGTCATAAAGGGAGAGTGCTGCATGTAGCCTTGAGCCCAGATGAGAGCAGGCTCTTTTCTGTGGCGGCTGATGGGACAGCTTGTGTGTGGACATGCCACGAGTCTGGGGAGAGCAGATACACCAGCAAGGCGGCGTCTAATGGTTTTCTGAGCTCATTCTTGTGACTTCTTTTCCTTGAAAGCAAGTGATTAAGTGCATTTGGCCCATTCAATAATTTGGAATATATATGTTCCTTCCAAATGAAACATAGCAAAAAATAGCATCATATTTTCATGCAAAAGCAATTTTCTCCATCAGTTCATCAACATATAGAATGATAGTAACTTGTCTCGCTCACGTTAGGGGAAAAATGTTCTAACTTTGAAGAATAATATAACATTTATTTTCATTAAACTAGCATGGGTGGAATCCCCCCTATGTCAAGTGCTAGCATAAAGTCTTAGGTCCTGCTTTTAGCTATGCTTCTTGTAATTAGTTTTACACCGTCTTAGCCTCTCCATTGGAAACACATGCCCCTCATGTAAGTAACCTGGAATTATTCAAGGACTAGGACCAGCAGAGACCAGCCCAGGGGACCAGATCATTCTATACATCACATAGATCATAGTGCAAAAGAGAGTCTGTGTAAATATTTCTTGAGACCCAGCCTAAATACATTACTCTAACTAAAGATAAATAATTTATTGGGAATTCTTTATTGTTCTCATAGCAGCAATGAGAACTGTGTTTATTAGAAAATGCCTTTTACTGGATTATGAATTGTTTCCTTAAACCCATCTATTGTGTGTGTTAGATATATGAAAATATAAATAAATGTGTAATAATTCTGATACTGTGCATAATTAAGTAATCAACTGGTGAGCAGAGCCAAAGAAGCATTCTGTTTGGGTGAAACACAACAGTTAGTTCATTTATCCCATATGGGTACCAATTTAATTTTAGGTGTCAATAAACTTGGTAGCTGGCACTCTGTGAGTTTTATTTAGTGCTCTCAAGGGCCAAACCCCTTGGACTTTAATAGGAGTTTGTCTGAGTAAAACGTGTACACTGTCAACAGCTAAGTAAGACTGTCAGGATTCCTCTTCAGATGCTATTCAGATGCGACTCAGTGGTGCTATTCAAAGCATGCTCTATCTACAGACATCTCTGGAGCTTTGTGTTCACCATTGATGGAGAGGCACTGAGTAGGGATTCAGTCTTGAATTTGTATATTAAAAGCCCTGTGAGCTCAGAAACTCATTGCTTGAATTTCTTTTTTTTTTTCTGTTTGAAATATATTTGCAATATTTCCTGTAACTGACCTAAGGAAGTATGGGGGATTAGAGGAGTAGATTATCAGCTGCTGGAAAATTAAGTTGTGATCAAATGCTTGAAAAGAGATAGGCAACATTAAGGGGGGGCACAAGCATCTCTGGAAATGAATGTGAAACTGTCATATCTTTGGTTCTCATCATTTTTAAAACCTCATCTTCTGTTCATAAATCACATGATCACTTTAGGTCTGGAAGTTTGAGACCGCTAATGTTTTCTCAGATGTCCTGAGTACCTAACAAGTTGTTAATTTACAATAAATATGCTACTAAGCTGCTAAGATGCTAAGAGTGGTTATCTCTTGTGGTCTTCTGCAAAACGAGATAGAAAAGATAGAAACAACTATGAAGAAGCTCATATCTGAGAATAGGAAATAACTTACACAGTACCTGTACTCTAATAATAGCATGCTTATTGCAGCTGATTTTATCAAGCATTTAGAAGCTGATTTAAATACTCAAAACAGTGTTTTGCATACTTTAAAAGTTTCTAAAAAATGTTAAAAATATTTTTCTCTTTTCAAAGGGAAAATAGTAATAGAATTCATCTCTTTACTCTTATAGATTTCTGTGATTTTCCCCCAAATTCCCTCTCTTTCCGTAGAAGTTACCTAAATGCTCTTGATTTACCAAATAAAGAAACAGATGTTTAATATGGGGTGGGATAGGAGGATGTCATGGGGAAAGAGCTAGTCAATATGAAGCTAAGCATATTTTGTTTGATGCTTAGCTATTGAAGTAAGAAATAAGAAAATAAGAAATAAGAAAATAAGAAAAGAATAAATAAGAAAACACGTTTTTGGATTGAGGAATGCTGACTACTTACACCTAGTTATGCTCATTCATTATTGAATGGTCAAGCTGTATTGGCCCCCCAAGTATTCTAACATGGTACTTAAAGTGGGAGAAGTCACTGATTTAGCGGAACTAGCCAAAAGTCCATTAATAAAATGAGAATCTTTTGTGAGCATGTGAACAGGAGCTCTGCTCTATGATCACGTCTCCATTCCAAGAAAGCATTTAAGCATATATTTGAATTTCAGCTTGTGACTAATCTGGATTCAAATTAAACGTTTACTGAAGTATTTTTTCTAGATATGCTTACTTTTCTAGCAGTGCACCTTTACTGTCAGTCTCTTTAACATGGCTAATATCTGTCTTTCTGGAATAGGAGTTTGAGGACTTGAGGGGGCAGCATGGATCTGCGCTGCTCATGCGTTGCAGGTGTGTTACTGAATACTTGCAAGTATAGTGTGCAGTTGCTGAAAGCAGATGATTATTCTTGCAAAGCTGCCTCATTCTGCCTCTGCAGAGGTCTTAACCTACAAACTCTAAGGAAAAATGTGAAGTCTTTACTTCCTCCCCATAGAATATGTCATATTTTTAGCTCGTTGCCTGTCTCTGCTAATGGCGGAGTCTCCGGAGGTGACACAAAGTGTAAGCAGAATTTACGTTGCCCAAACCTACAGCATAATGCCAACTGTTCTGTTCAAGGTGGAACATTTTACAGCTCATATGGAATCCAAAACTTAGGACAAAAATCATTTTTACAAGAGAACAACCTTGAATTGCCCATAGTGAGAATGTTTGTTCCTAGGCTCACCAGTACAACAAAGTGGGTATCTGACTGTTATGCAATTAAATAGTTTAAAGAAATTTAAATGAGGGAATTCTTTTGTTTCGGCATATACAACACACTGAACAATCTCTAGCAGACTCTCCCCTGTTTTGCTGCCACCTGATGCTAGGTACATAAATGTTACCTCAGCCTGTGCAATGTAGTTTATGCCTCTTCACAGGGTGTTCAGCTGTCCCATAAGCTTGCAGTGAGCAGAAATTGTTGCATTCTAGATGTCAGAGTGTCACTGGCTGATCATGATGCTTTTCTTAACCTGTTGCTAATGCTAGTATTGCATGGGCTCCATCCCGTAGTAGTGGAGCTCTATTGGGATTGGGTTCAGACCTCCTGATGAGAGAAACGCCCAGCTCTGTTCCATCTCCTTGCTCTTGCTCCTACTGCTTTTTCCACAGATTTCCACCACTGGCAGAGGTGACAGAGACTTGAATGTTACATTTATCGTGTTAAGTTCAGTTCCACTAAGAACCTGACTAATTTTGCACAATTCACCAAACAACGTTCAGGTTAAAAAAGTTTTTATTCTGGCTTGGGGTAGATTCTAGATTTCAAGCTAGAGGAGGAAGGCTATATATTTTGCTTTTGCCTTTCACATTTCTTGATGCACTGCAGACTTTTCCTTAGTCAGATCCTCACCTTCCTGATCTCTAAAGTTCTGCAGTAATTGGATCAAAATGGAAAAAAAATGGATCATAGGCTTTCAGCAGGGTTTTCCACTGACAAGGATGCTGCCAGTGATGTCCAGACAAGAGGAGGAAGCAGAGCGAAGAGGAAGAAATAAGATAAAGAAAATGCTACAGCAGGATGAAAGTTGCCTTGAAGATCAGCTATTTCATTAGAGTAATAACGATTTTCTTTTTCCTGAGGCAAGAATGTGGCAGTTTGCATGATAAATTGAATAGAAAATGCCTGGACTTTGCTTACGTATTCCCTGGGTGTATAAAGACAGAATCAAAGTCACCGCTTTGGGTGTCGGTATCAGTCGGTGGGCCAAATTCTACTCTCAGTTGCACTGATGCAATCGCATTTGGCTAAGACTCCTTCTTTCTATTTCTGCTTTGCTTCTGTGTTTGTGTGTGGCCCTTTTTACAGCCCATCAGTCACAGAACAAGCATGCAGACTACGCCTTAGGAGTAAGGAGGAGGAATACTGCAAACGCTGCCTGTGTAACATTTGTAATAGGCAGAAAACATAAAAGCTCTTCAGCTTCAAAACTTTCAGTAAAGATCACTGTAGTTTAGACCCTCTCCCTCCTCACCCGTCAATATTCCTCTTATGACAAAACTTTTATTTTATCTCAACTAGATGTCAGGTGGAGACAGATGTGTAAATAAGTTATAATCTCGTGTTGTGCTTTTAAGTAATGTTTAATTGCTCGTGATGAACTGAGCAATGGCTTTTTAATTAAAATCACGTACCAAATTTCTCCACCCTTTGAATATCCTCTGCTTTCTGTTAGCTAACTCCTCCTTCTAAGTAAAAAAAGAAAAACAAAAAAAAACCAAAGCAACACAAAATAAAACCAAGTTCTTTTTGAGGTGTTTGATATCTGTCAATGAAATCTAGGGTAATGGAGCCATGACATTAATATATTTTTTTGCTGTACTGACAGGGATTATCATATTGGTACTCCAGCTGAGACACTTTCTGTCACTTCTCTGGAGGATGGTTTTCAGCTGATTTTTCAATATAGTCTTGCTGATCTTGATGCGGTCTGTAAACATATAGCACATCCAAAACATGTATACATGTTACTGTATATGCAATATACAGACCGTATACAGAATGCTTGCACTGCAACAGGCAGGGTGTTTCATATAAATTGTCAGCTTCAGGCAGTAGATTTTGTTACCATTTCTTTATTAAATGCAAAGTACATTAAAGGGTGAAAGACAGAGGTTTCAAATGCATGAAAGTTAGAAAATACTTATTGTGTCTCAAATCCAACTATCCAAATGATCCAGCTGAGACTTCATTTCCTAAAGCTTACCAGTTCCCTCCACCTCTAAAATCGGGAGTTCTGCTGCAGAGAAACTGCAGAGTTTTTCAGGTATCTAGAGTTGTACCTGGCACCTCATTAACTTTCAGGGTTGTTTGCAGAAATATAGATACAGGAGAATGCAGTATATACTTAACATGCAGTCAGGAACCAAACAGCGGGAGTAGGTTCTTGGTCAGAAATATTCATCTGTATAGAGCTTGGTCTAAACGTCCAGAACAAGAATATCAGAAGCGTGAGTCACAAATACCTGTCTAATGACTCCATGCTTAAGAGTATAAACTATAAATGCTGTTGATGGAGGGTGCTCTGTTCTGGCCCTGTTAAGATCATGCTTATTCTGAGAGCAGACATAGGCAGTTTCATCCCTAAGGAAAGAAACCTGCTAAAGCCCAGCATGGGAATACCTCTTTTACCACTATCATGAAGCTATTTTATAATGCATATTGCAAAACAAGGTTTGTTACACAAGCGCAAAGTAGGAAACTGGCTGGTCAAAATCCAATCTGTATATCTCCCCCTATGGTTTTTCTTATCCATTGAAGGTATTGCTTTGTCAGTCGAGTGTAGATGCCAGGGCTGTCAACAGCACCGCACTTGTTGGCCTTTCCGAAAGAAGTGATGCCTCTCATCACATTATTGCATATTAATGGTCCACCTGAATCCCCCTGGAAAAAAAGGGAAAAAAAAATTCATTGAAATTTACCGAAGCTGAAAAATCCTTCTCTTATTTAAATCTTGCTCCAGAAGAGAAAGGAAGAAGCAAAAATGTAGGCAGTGGTATTGTTTGTTTTTTTTTTTTTCTCCTTAGAAGGTACATTTTTCACTAGCCAAAAGAAAAAGACTTAAAACTGATCTTTCAAGTGTGAGTTATGTGGTATAAATCTAGATCACTGCTAAGGAATAGTGATACAGTGTTTCTGAATATGAAAAAAAATGTAAACTTTCTTCTTGAAAGGCAGAACGTTTCTGGAAATGTGCACCTTTTTTGTAACTTCAGTATTTAAATGTTTTAAAAATGTTGTTATTCTTACAACTTTATTTTTTTTACTTGGTGCCCGGTGAAAATGCTTTTTATCAGAAAAACCTATTTCAAAGCTCTCTGACATCAAAGAAGATCGTCTATTCAATTTAGTTGCTTGAGAATGGGTCCATTAAGCGTAAGTTATTTTGTGGAGATTTTTCTATTAAACATCATTTTGTAGAGGAAGAGAAGAACTATCTGCCATGCCTGGATAAAAACACAAAATCTAAAGTCTGCGAAGGTGAATTTCTCAATTTGAAGCTTTGATTTTAAGGCTTTGATAAACAAACCTTTACTAAATTTACTCATATTTGTTAAGTTCTTTATTGAACTGAAGATAGGCAGAAGTTAGAAGACTGTAAAAGCTAGTGTTTTATTTTTTGTTTTTAGTATTCTCTAGATGGATACAGCCAGTAAATATACTTACAGAACATGAGTCCTTTCCTCCTCTCCTAGCCCCAGCGCATATCATATTCTCTGTTATGACAGGCCTGCCATTATAATGCTTCCAGTCGTTGCAGATCCTTCTGTTGATGACAGTGATGTTGACTTCCCTTAGTGTATTAGAAGCCTTTTTCAAGTTATTGGCAGTTTGTCCCCATCCTGCTACTGTGCAAATTGTTCCATCTTTGGGATCATCATCTGAGTTAGGCAACGGAATGATTTTCACAGCTTTATTAAGTTTTGCTCTTTTTTTAAGCTGTGGAAGATATGGAAAATAGTTATTATGAGAATGAGACTAATAGAGACCCCAGCGATGTTAATCACTGGGTCTTTTCCATCATGATAGTGGAGGATTATTGCAATCCTTTTTGTGAGATACTTCAATTGTTTGTAGCAGGATTTATTTAGTCAATGAGGATGGAATGATGGAATTAGGGAAATGAGTGTCCTGTGTCCCATGAAAACCCATTCAGCGTCTACTGGAATGTTACCTCTAAAAAAACCTCTATTTCTCTTCTCTGGATCTTATACTATTCACACCCTAAAAAGAGTGAAACTGAGCTTTTTAGGTAGGACAAAATAGCAGCAATCACTGCAGCTGGCAAAGCTGAGAATGGGAGAAATCATACATTTTTAATTAAAACTGTTTTTCAGACAGAACATTAGCGTTTTAGCCAGCTTATTTAATATGTGAAATATGCCACTTTCTGTGAACAATCTTTATTATTTCACTGAAAAGGCAGAGGCAGACATATTTTGGCCAAGCTCCAGAATTTTTATATTTCTAGCACTGATATGCATTACAGGATTTGTAGTTTGAATGCCTTAGTCCCCAATTCACATTGGGCTAGATTTGCAGACCAGACTACGTCACCCAGGAAACAGGGTCTCCAGAAAGTCCCTTGACTCATCTCCCTTCCTCACAAGGAGGGGGAAGGTGGTGCATCATAGAAGATGCATACTCCTTAAGTGATGTCTAAGTCAGTCTATACCTGCAGCAGCATTATATCGTTTTCCTTATTATTAGGAGAGTAGCATGGGTAGGGAATTCGTTTTGCAATCTGAAAAACTTGTTGTTCTCTCTCTTTTTTTCCCAGTGAATGAGCTCCAAGAATAACCTGGCTTTTTTTCCTGAGAAGAAAGACAACATAGTTAATAGGATTCACTTGCTGTAAGTCTGTAATTCCTTGCTGTTAAATGTGGTGCTATAATGACCAGTTGCTACAGATCCTCTTGCCTCATGCCTGAAGAGCAACAGTAAGTTGGAAGAATATAAAAGATTACCATGTTTTCACAAATAGTTAAACAAATTGAGTCAGTAAATCAAGATTTGTGTTGTTTTATTTTCACTTTCCCAGGAGCTGGACAAGACTCAGCTGCTTGACTCTGAGCTGACCCCTTTGGTTCCATTTGGGAACCAAATGGAAAGTGGCTGCATCTGTTTTGCTGATGGCAATGATCTCACCAAGTGTGTCCCTCTGCCATTTATGCTGGAAGCTTAGGAGAATAGCTCACTGGACTATTAGGTCAGCAATCATCACGACTGGACCAAATTATCCCATTGCTTTGCCCTAACACCTGATGTAGTTTTCAACACCGTTTTCTGAGTCTACATGAGATACATCTATCTTGCTTTGTCTCAGTTGTTTTGCAGCTTCATACACTTACTAGATACTAAAACCGTGGCAGAGTTGTGCTTGCTGGGGCTCTCTGGTATAGAAACCGGGAGTCTACCCTCTTTGGTCAAGCAAGGTGCTGCTTTATATCAGACCACAGGTGTGGCTATTTCTGGGAGAAAAATGTACGCTACAACTGAATGGGAGGATATTCTTTGAGCAGGAGCACTTTTTTAAATTGCCTTTTACTGCAACAAGCAAAACCCTGAGGAAACGGTTAGTCCTTTTCTTTCAGCTACTAAGCTCCGTCTAACTATTGACTGAGCATTATTAGATTAATTATTTATTGTAGTTTCTCTTAACTGAGGTCTCATCTAGCATCATTCTTTGCCTTGTGTTAATATTACAGCTTTTGGGCCCTGTGCCCTCTTTGTAGTAGGTCCAATATATCCCCTGTTTGGATGGTGACAGGAGGAATTGATACATTGTAGAGTCCAGTGATTCACTGGCCCTGGAAAGGCCCTTGACAGAGCCTGTGTGAGGTCTGGCTCAGCAGCAGCTCCAGTCTTACTTACGAGGACAACGGGTGAGACATATGATTTAAACCTCACATCTCACCTTGCTGGGGAAGAGTGTTCTGGGCCAAACAGCCATTTGCATCTTGAGTCAAATGGAAAGAAGAAAGGCTGGCTGACAAGCTAATGTATGGTTATTCTGTAAAATAGGAGTCTCTAAACATCTGTCATCTAGCTAGGGGATTTTTTCTGCTTTATATCTGCATGCTGTCTTGTTCCGCAGTGAAAGGCATATCTTTCATGGAATAAAATGACAAGAATTTAATTCTATTTTCTAAGCGGCTAGACTGACCAGTCCTCTGTTTGGTCAAGTGTACTAATTGACTGAGAAAAACCTTTTATCCCCCAAAAAACCTTTACCCCAAGTTCACTACTTCAGTGTTGCTAGCCTGTGTTTGCGTGCAGATAGAAGCTTGCAAAATATCTCTTCAGAAACACTGAAGATCAGTACGCCTTGTTATATTATTTCTTAATCACCAAATCACAGCTGTCAATATAAATCTTGAAGCACAGTAATCAGAACATAATCATAATCATGCTAAATGCATAAAACCACCAGGGATATTAACTTTCCTTCTTGAAGAGAGATGCCAGGATGTCACAAAGGGCATCTCTGAATCAGATTTAGAACTTACATATCACAGTGAGCAGCTGTTAACACCCAGTTTTCCTTGATCAAAGCTCCTCCGCAAATTTTTGCTCCATTTTCTTCTCTGATTAGAGCCATAAATGGTCTTGAGTGAGGTGCTACTTCATTTCCTCCAATGATATCCACACACAAACCTGAAAATAAAAATAAGTCACAATACACACAGCAGGGCTAATGAATACTGTAAGAAACTTAAGTCTCTTAGAAAAAAAAAGGTTAATGTAATTATAAAGTATATAGACACACAAGTATGTACATACGCCACAATGCCAGTCTTCAGGGTAGACTTAATATTGCTCAGCGTTCTGAGCAATACTTCTGTACGTTTCCGTAGGACGAAAATCATGTTAGTGGTGTGAACTTTGACAAAAAACCACCAGAGTATTGTTATTGTTCTTGCACAGATTTCTTTTCCTGAACCTCACTGCCATGGTTAATTTCTCAGTGTTCATTGTGACTAAGAACCTCCTGACCTGCCACCAGTTAAGCTCTGTGCAATATGCATCCCTGGAAACGGGGCTATATAATATAAGTCATATTAAATTAACATGTTTTTCAGAAAAACAGAAAAGCAACAGATTAATACATGGGTATGTCTCTGGAGAGATGGATCAGATGATGATTGTGATAACTGCTCTGAACTCCTCTGCCCTCTATGCAGCTTTAATTAAATTAATTCAGAATTTTTTTTTCTGTATGAAAAGGCCAAGCACATACAATGAGTGGAAAAGAGCTAATAATTAGAACTCTAGGAGCTCCAACAATAATAGCAAATATCTTCTTTATGCTAATACATTTCTACTTAACTCTGACTCTGCACATCACCATTTACCAGCGCAAGGATCAAATGGGGCAGGCACTTACCTCCAGGAATTACCAGGAGAACGACAGCAAAAGAGGTGGACAAAGTGAAGAAAGCCCCCATGATTTCTGTCTGGGTTCTCCCCTATTCACAGTTTAATATATATCTAAATGAAAAGGATGTGGGTTTTTTTCCTCGTCTTAAGGCTATTTGACATTTGTAATTGTGAAACAAGAAAACCTCCCCCACAACATAGCTCACATCAGAGGTGTTAGGGAGAAATTGCATTTTATGTTGTGGCGTGAAGACGGGATCTCCCCCGCTTCAAGTTCTCTATGTAGCATTAGCCTCTTGTGAGCGCTGGGGTGAGCCACCTAACCTTGCAAGCCACTGTGTATCTGATTACACGGTAGGGCTCAGCTCATGTAATTTTAGGCTTGATTCAGTTGCCCACATGTTAAGTTCTATTTTAGAAACCCCAGGGTAATCTGCATGGCCTCCAGATCCTAGAGGGTACAAGTGTCTCACCAGTCCAGTGACACATCAACCAGCCCCAGCTCACATGCTCTACTCTCCATAGTTTAAGCTTGTGCATAATCACTGAGGTCTGTCTGGTCAATACAGTCAAGGGATCCTGCAGAGAGATTCAGTGGATCAACTGCTAGGGACCTGTTTATGCGAGATATGTCACTCCCAGGGCTCTGCTGACCGTGTTAGTTGGATCTCCACTGGCTTAAATAGGAAGCAGGTAAATATGGGGCTATTTTTAGAGACAGCAGAGCTCTTTGTGGCTGCTGTGGCCCATCAGAGACATTGTCATCTCTGATGTGGTGACAGCTCCATGCACCCCAAGTCACATCAAGCTTTTTATTTTGCTTCAGTTTTCTTGTCATTACCTGCAAATCTCCACTGACTGTCAGCAACTTCTACCACTGCTGGCCTTCCTTTTTTTCAGTGTTCTGCGGAACCCAGTGCCACCAAGAGGCATAGGTGCCTTTCTTAGATTTATCACTTATAAACAGGTGTGTTAGTCTGCCTTTATGATTTCTTTAAAAAGCAGTTTTACCATATCAAAGCTCCTGTCTGTCACCTGTTACATTGTGACATAATCTGGATGAACACTGGTGAGCCAAAAACCTATATTTCACTGAGCCCTGCTTAAACTTAAATTGCTACAATGATTCATCCTCAGATATTCCTATGGCAGGTGCTATGTCTAGAGAAAAGAGGTTTGATATGCATCGCCATACGTTTACCTGCTGTATTTTCAAGACAAGCCTGTTTGGGAAAGAAAGAATGAAATTTTAGCAGAAATCCCTAGATTTTTTTCCAGGCAGTTCAAATAAATCTCTGAGATACTGTCTAAAAACAAATAATCTCTAACCCACTTATATTTTGTCAATCTTTAAATGTTCTCTTATTTTCTTCTAAAGATATTTTTCTGTAACTCCTTAGGTATCAGCATATCCATGCCTTAAGCATGGGACAGCAGAGCACTTTCAGCTCTCTTCTGTACTTTGCTGAGCACTTCTCTATCCCTTACCTTATACTCAGTCATTCTGATGGTTTTGTTTCCTCAGTAAGCATGCTCCTCCTTCATCAATGCTGCCTCATACAATGCTAAAGGTGAGCATGAGGTGTGATTTTAGGAGCCTAAATTCAGGATACCAATTTAGACCTCAGATTTAAACCTGGCAGAGCCTCTGGCAGCACCTTAGTTGTGCTGCAGGGCTGGCACCAGGGGCCGGGGGAGGGAGGGCAGGAGAGCAGCGCAGATCGGAGAGCTGCTGGGACCACAGTGGGGCAGAGCTGGGGCGCCTTCTCTGCTGTCCATCCCCAACCCCACTCCAGTGAGTTTCCCTTGGTGGCTGGGAGATGAATTTCCAGGACTTGCTGGGAAGGGGATGGGACATGCACGGGGAGGGCCCTGGGGCTGTGACAAGAGAGAACAATATCACGGTGCAGAGAAGATGAAGGTAGACAGTGCAGCTCTGCAGTGCAGCCTTGCCTATCTACCAGTCCTGCTTATCTGCCCATCTGCCTGCAGCTCCCTGAGGCACTTCTCAGTGGGGTGCGCCTAGGGGGTGACCCCTTTCCCCCCCATCTGATCGCATGGAGAAGTCCTGAAGGTGGAGCAGGCACATAGCAAGTGTCCTTGGCGCATGAAGTGGTAAAAAAATGTTTTTCTAATGCTTACTACAGGTCGGCAAATACTTGGAGGCATCCCAGCCCGAGCTGACAGGTGTTGACATGGATGAGAGACAGGCAGAGAAACACTTAATTTCTGTGTAGTTCCAGGCAGGCTCAGACCATGGCCAGCTCACATGGGCCACACAGTTCTTCTCAAAGCACAGGCAGAGGAACAATCCATCTTTGGTATAATGGCCCAGGGGTTAAGACACTTCCCTAGGAACTGGGAGATATTCAAAATACCATATGCTTCAAAACCAGCTATTCTCAGAAATAAGGTTTCCTTTCTTTGTCTGGCATCTGCTGCTTTGCAGGCAGAACATCAGGGGATCTGAGTAAATTTTCTCCAGCACTGCTTCGTATTTCTGGAGAACGTCAGCACGAGTGTTGCTTTAAACAGCTCCATCTTTTCACTAAGAGTATTTTCTAAGCTTGTTGCTCAGTCCTCACTCCTGCCCAGAGAACCTGACACTGGCTTGCTTCCTTCTGTATTCTTGGATGAGTGGTGTGATCAGTCCTGCTGTGTCAAAACACAGGTGGGCTTGACAAGGCGGGGCTGTGCATAAGGAGAAAAGAGACAAAGATGAACTAAGAAGATGAGGTGCTAAGTTAACTGGGAGATGTCAGGAAAAAAGGTTTTTTGTCACTTGTATCCTGTGTTTAACAGAGAGTGGAAGATCCTCAGAACAGGGTGATGACCATGACCATGATCCTTTGACTGCATGGGATGATTTTTGAACTGCAGTATAGCTAAGATTTGGGATCACAGAAACAGAGCAAGACCATATAATCTATCAGACCTGATAGTTGTTTCGTCTTGTTTAACCTGACATTACTTACTGATCTTAATCTTTTCCCATCAGGCTGTCTATTTTACTCTCAATCTTATTTAAACTGATATTATTTGTTGCTCTTAACACTCTTTTCTAATCAGAAAGTCTATTTTATTCTCATTGCTTTTGTGATACCTGTATCTTGTGATATTTGTTATCCTTTCTGCCTGAGCTGTTTTTGCTCTGCTTCCTTATTTTCACCTTTTTACTGTGTGATATCACAGAAAAATATATTAGCCTAGAAATACAAGTAGACTTATTTAGCTCAGAGAGTCCTTAAAGCATTTTAGTGAATCAGTGTCACTTCTACAAAGTTGCATGCATTTGACAGAAAGAGTACAATATTAGACAGTATGCTCTGGAAACACAGGTCTTCCGCCTGTTCAGAACGTGAGGCTGTTGTTCGTCTTGTCTTTTATTAGCACTAGGTTTTACACAGTTTTGTAAGCCACCCACTTAGCAAGCTTACAGGGGCAGAGGCAAAACCGTGGAAAACTTGATCGTATTATGGCTTTAGGACCTTGTGGAGCAATGCACTGATTTGCAGAGATAACCTCCAGTGTGTGAATAACCACAGAAAAAGGATGAGTTGGAGGATGGAGAGTGATTTTGGGGTAACTAGTCCTGGCTCTTTTATGAGCTGATCAATTCTAAAAGACACATGCTTTCTTCTAAAAGAGCTTTGCAAGAGTTTTCTGAGAGATGAAACGTGGAGGTTTCACATGTTTCCAGCTGGATTATAACTGGTAAGATTCGGTGCCATACAAATAAGCATTTTAATGCTATAATGCCCTTCCACAATCTGGAGAGCTGCTGTTCTCTAACTCTTGAATGCAAATGAAACCTGGATGTATTGAAAGGGTTAAATTTCTCATTCTTTCTCAAGATATTTAAGATGATAGCAGGCTTTCTAAGTTCTTCACACAAAGGTCATGCTATTTTTTCGTAGTGGTTTACCAGCAAGGCACGCAGAAGGCAGGCACAGACCCAGAGGTTAGCAATATAGAAATCTCTCTCCCGCTGCTGTCTTTTTTATCTTTTACTTGAGAACATTCTTTAGATATTTTAGTTGCATTTGAAACTTGCACACTCTAGGGGTTTCTGCATCTGAATCCTGCACTCTCAAAAATTATTGCAAAGAAAATAAAAATGGCTCTCCCTGTGTATAGCTTGTATTTTGTGCCAGGTGTTCCTAAACTTATCAGACAACAGATTCCTGCCGATTCTCAATAGCTCTCATAAACTTTGTGTGTGAATCCTCATCAATCTTTCAAAAGAAAATGCTACCTAGGCAGTGTAATTCTGCAGGGAATTTGCTGCCTGCCCACGCACCTTGGTCCACAGTTTGGGAGTGACTGCTGTGCACCACATTCTCCCAAGATTTCCCTCTCACTGGAGTTCTGTGTAGCCTTTTCTGGTGACCCTCGAATTTGTTCTTCAGTTTGTTCACTTGTTAGAAGAGGGCAAGTTTCATTCTTCTTACACATTTCCATTTTCTTCTCTTTAGAAATGAAAAAAAAGAAAAGAGTATTGAACTCTCTGAGCTACTTAGGTTTTGTTAGACATTCATCCAATTTAATGCTTGTTACTTGTTGTTGTTTACTTGTTTTCTAATGCAAGAATTGTATAAAGAGCTGCTGAAGTTCCTGGTAGACTTAAAGTGACACATGTTGGGGATTCAAGAAATGGGCTGGTTTTAAAGAAATTGAGCTGTAGTTAAGGTTTTACAATATGAATGATGTAAAGGGAAAATTCAGAAAAGGGAGCTATTCATACAAACTGTCCACCACCACTTCCTGTAGGAGACATTTACACAGAAAAGTGTGTATCATGATTTACAGCCTGTGTTCTCACCCGTAAACAGCAACAGCCATGGCAAGCCACCTGTTAGCTCTCCTGCTCGCTCTGATCACTGCTGTCCTACCCCGAAGAAGTAGCCCTCGTAGGATAAAGAGTTCCAAATTCCTGCTTTTCCTGGCTAATATGCAAATAACATAACTCCTGTTATAACATATCTTCTATTGCATTTGAGATGGCTGCACTGACATTATTGGGGAACACCCTGTGCTTCCCCATTCCTGGCCTTTTATGGCTGCCATCCAGAAAGACCATTTAACTGTGTGTGGAGGAGCTCTTGTGGCAAAGAAATGGGTTTTGACAGCAGCACATTGTAAGTGAGTATTATTTGTGAAGTATTTTATACTGTGGCAATTTTAACTCTTTGTTGAGGTGGGGTATAATACGCAAGCCAGCAAGTAAACCAAGCTGGATATTGATTTTTTAAGAACTGATTAAATGAGCGATTTTCTCACTAGCTGATCTAAGAACTTGTAATTCTGCTTTAAGTTGTTTTGTAAACTACTGGTCCGCATTGTGTACAGTCAGATCCTGCCAATGTTGCAGGATACAGAATGTGCTGATAAAAGACTCTGTTCATTATTTATTTGTCTGAAACAGCGATATCTTGGGGAAGGGGTATATGGCAATACGTTTTAGAAAATTTTACCTGCATGCCTGGAACTAAGCCTCAAAACATCCTGAGAGATGAAGTTATTAGACAGAAATTAGCTAGAAACACTATTTCCTCCTCCCCCTCCCCACCCCCAATTTCAGTGATCTGTCTGGGCTCACAAAAACTGGATGGCAGAGCTGGGATTAGGACAAGGAGTCTTGTCTGGTTGGCAAGTCAAATTTAAGCACCAAGCACCCCTTCCCCAGGTGAGATCTCCCCCAACAGGGACGTGTAACAGCTGGCTCAGGGTAATGGGGACATCTACTGTTCCTATCAGGGAATAAAATTCCTACCTCTTAGCTAAAATATTCTCTAAATCATATTTTAGATTCGCCAATTATTTTTCTGTATTTTGAGTAACTAAAAGAAAACAGCAGACCAAAACCAATTGCAAGATACCTGTGCAAACCTGACATCCTCAGACAAAGTGTGGGCAGCTGGGCCAGCCTTTCTTCACCTGAAGAGGAGGTGAAGCTCCTTTTATCTTATTTTAAGTGAAGCTAACTGCTACACTTCTGATGCCGAATCAGGTATGGTTGCCTTTTTTTGTAAAAGTAGAAATATTCACTTCTAGCATGTACCTTTTTGGACATTTACAAAACAAAATTTAAACCTTCCTCTTTGGAGTTAAGGGATTTTTTGACAGGAGCTGGAGTCTCTCATCTTTTCAGTCAGTGGGTCAGAAATGTGCAAGGTCAGTTATGGCTGTAAAAACTCAGGTTTGAGAGCTATTCAGTGACCAGTGGGAAGGGCTGTGGTTGTCTCCAGTGTCACGGAGAGGATGGCAGCTCTGGTTACTAGTTTGATTTTCTAACAAGGAAATCACTTTGAGCTGACCTTAAGTGACAAACCAAAACGATATCTGTTTGGTTATTTTCTCTTCAGCTTTGTGACGCTGCCTCTGCAGAACCTATCCACCTCTATGCTATGTCTAGGCTATTCTTAGGAGGTGCAATTGCAGCACATGTAACTTTTCCTGAACTAGTACCCAAAACCACTTTTGAAACCATTTTTCTTTCAGATAAAATCGCATGAATCCAGTGATGTTAACCTCCGTGTGGCCTGCAACCAACCTGTCAGAGACCTGGATGAGGTGGCGGTGGTTTTCTTTCCATGGCTCTGCATATATGCAGTGGCCAATTGCCTGGGCTTTCTGCAAGTCCAGCAGTTATACTTCTGGGGGATGTCCAGCAGAACAGAACAATTTTCCCAAGTCATCAGATTCTACTGTAGTAGATGTGTGCCTGTGTGATTACCTGGCTTTCAACCTGAATTTGGTGGTCTCTGTTGATTTCTGAGCAAGCCAAGTTAAAGTCAGCAGTCCAATACTCTACATATTGCCGGCAGACTAGTGTTTGCAGTGTAAAAATAATTAGAACCACAAGCTCAGCAAACACTGAAGAGACCTGTACTGGAGGGGACAAGGGATGTGGTAACTCTTCCAGGTCAAAGCTTAGGTATCTAAGAGATGTGTTAAGGCTAAGCTGAGAACAGATAAGGGGAGGAAAAAAGGGATAATACATGAAAGCATCCCAGGGATGGAGTTCTGTGACTCTCATATCACTTTAGCTCCGAAAGCCTCCTCTGTAGATGAAAAGAGAAATTTTTAGGCTCCAGTACAGTCTGTGCATCCATTTTCACAAGCAAAAATTCACATCCAAATAAATGGATTATGTCTTTTAGTGAGACATGTAACTGGAATGAAGAAAACAACTCTTTTTGTTTGAATTGATAACGTCTTTATTCTGGATTGAATAAGCTGTCCAGTGTGTAAATGAGCCTGAGATCTGAAGATGAAACACAGGAAAACATCAGTATGTTTTCTGGCAGTGTCTTCTTACTGGGCTGCATTACATTTAGCATGGCAAGATGAAGAAAAGCAAACTCTAATGAATCCATTTCTGATGATACTCAGGGAGCTTGGGGGAAAGGGAGATTTAATGAGTTATTTAACTCTTGCTGTCTATTAGCAGAAATTGGACATGTAACTCCCTTTGGATTTTGACAGTGTCCCTTTGTAATATTCATTATAGGGATGTCTTGAGCTAGACAATGTCTGTTCTTCTTCCTTGATGCGTTGAATCCTACATTCAGTTAAGGACGAAACTCTTATCAATGTTAATGGTGTCCACTTTAGCAGGGCACTTCCTGTATGTATAATGTTGAGCATGAGTACTGATGTATGTGTTAACATATCACTGAGATCAGTAAGACAACCTTTATGCTATTAGTCAGGCATGTATTAGTCCTTTGCAGTATTAGATTGTATATCCACTGAAGTCCACGCAAAGATTATATAAAGACATCACTACCAGCAATCCTTGTGCAAGGGACTCTCCCTGTAAAGTCAGTAGACCTTTTCTTAAAATTAATCCATGACTGTAGTCACCTGAGGGTCAACTTTCTCACTGTTATTTCACCAAATGAGGTTTGCATTAAATAAATGTTACTTTGTACAGGAAAATATAAGCTCATGTGAAAACATCAACATGAACAATATTTTTCCTATTTTCAAATCACATTGTTGTAAAATGAAATTGTAAGTTTTATGTTACATGATTTTTGATTATCTTAAGATGTAGTCTTACTCATTTCCAGTAGTGACCTTCTCTTCCTGGACTTTCTTTAAGTTACAGATTAAGAAAATCAGAAGTCAGAGTTGTTCTTGGAGCCCATTGAGCATCCATAGTTGAAAAAGAGCAGCAGATATTTAAGGTTATGCATTGCTTTCCTAATCCCCAGTTTAACAGGTCTTCCAAGGAAAACAATATAATGCTCCTCAAGGTATTGTGTTAACTGCTTATTATTGTTATTATTACAAAAGGAATTTTGCTGATGATCGTTTTGGCTGGTCTTTGATATTAAAGAGTACATTGTTTTGATAGCTTAACAATGTCGCAGAATGCTCTGCTTTTGGTTGTGCTAATCTAGGTAAGGTTAAAGGATCACTGGCACTCTAAGCAGGGATGACATTTCATGTCCGTTCTGTGCTCTGCAGCTCCCTTTAACCCACTCATTACAGCAACCCCTCTGAAATTCCCAAACATGTTCTTCAGCCATTTTTCCAAGGCAGTGCTGAAGTGATGTATGCAATGGAGTCTGGGCCACAGCAATATCCCAAAGGGATACCTTATGCAGAACTGAGTAAAAATAGTAATGCAATTTATTATTCCTTATTTGAGATGTATGTGCAAACTAAAATTATGGATAATGCAGGACATAGATGAATTCAGCTCTAAGAACCTAGAATGAGCATGTAATGAAGAAGGCTTAGGACACTGCAGAATGAGGTTTGGAAAGACCCCAAGCCAACACGATCATTCTGCATGTTTAAGTGGGGCAGAGGCTATAAGAATTTCCTATATGCTAGTCCCTGGCTCAGCTTTGCTCATGTCTCATGTGTCTCTGCACTGACAGCTCTATTAATCCAGCACTCAGATTAACATGGAGGTGGCCATGGGTTTTTTGAATAGGGGGAATGTAGTCTCTGTGCGTGAAATCTGTAGATGGTCAAGAGGGGGACTGGCTTACTGGTACCAACAGTGCCAGTGCCAATTCAAAGTCCTTGAGAAAGACAAAGCTTGTACATCATCTTGCCTGTGTCTTTAGAAACACCATGACTGTAGTACTATCCCTGAGATATCTTGGATGGATGTTTTGGAATGGATGGATGCGGAGGAAATGCTCTAAGATTATTCCTATGTTAATCAAGAGGTTGTTTTATGTGAAAGATCAAGTTATATATTTGAAATAAGTGAGTAGGTACAGTATATCAGGAATATTACCAGACTTCTAAAATAATTCATGGAATTATATGGAAAAGCAAGTGATGACTTGAACCTGGTTTCCCATATTTCAGTGTTATTACCAGTTTGGTCTGACAAGGGCACAGAGAGGAGTAGCAATGTCCCTTTCTGGAACTAGCTGGGGCATTTATAGACATTAGTGACCTAGCAACTCACCCCTGTGAAAACATGGAAAGCTTCCTCCCCCATATGTTAGTGAGCACTCTTCATCTGCTTCAGGATAAAGGCAGACGGGCTCATTTCGCTGATCTTTCTGTGCCCATCACCAGCTTATCAGGAGCACCAGGTTATTTGACCAGTATGAGCACTATACCAAAATGGATCAGTAGGAAATGCTATCTCTAGGCCAGAAAGTTTCAACTCTGTTCCAGGATCACAAGGATACCATAAAATCCTTTGTCTAGATTTGATACAGAAACAGGGATAGCATTAGCCCCAGGACTTACCTAAATCACTATGGCTGTGCTCTAATGGAGTGCTAAGTGATTTAGGGTAAGCCTTGCACATAAAATTTTTGTCTTTAAAATTACCACTAGAACTGGAGATACTAAAAGCACAAGGATTTGTTGGATAAATATTGTATTGTTTCTCAAAAGGTATAAGGCCCAAACCATTTATCTGACAACCATTCAGCAAAATGTATAACCCCTTGTGAAATGAATCGTGGTGCAGTGAATGTGTGCAAAACAACAAATGTCTGTTCAGTAGCTGTGAGCCATTACCAAGTGTATTGAGGATATGTGTTAGTGTTTTTGCTATATTTTTATTTATGAGCTTAAACTGGCTTCTGTTGAAGGTTGAATCTGTCAGGTAAAGGCCAGCAAAACACAGTTTGGATCATTCCAGGCTATTGGAATCTCCCAGCAAAAACTTGGCGATCTGAAGAGTTGAAGACCTCCTTTTCCCCAGTTTGTGTCTCTGCTGTCATGTCTGATTGTTCATAGTTTTTCCTTTTCTTCTTTGTTACTGGGCACATTACATTGTGGTTTGCGACTTTTCTGTGTGCTAGTTAAGAACCAGAGTCCAGCTTCAACAGAAAACTTCAATGGCAAGTTACATTCCCAGGTAGGACATAGATCCAACAGCCTAACTCCAGGGTAGGTTTTTAATTTCCTACTGTAATCAATGGGAAGCTGGGCTTTGAACTCTCTATTGCTGCTGTAGATATGGAATCGCTATACTGACATCAAGGACATTCTTCTGGATATGCAGAAGTGTAATTAAGCTCAGAATCAATTTCTAAATATTGAAAAGTGATTTATTAGAAGAAGAAGTATTGGTAAAAAAAAAAACTAAAAAGCAGTTGAAATTAGTGATCAGACTTTCCTTCATTTCTGCATGAGACAGCATTTTTTCCCTCTTTTTTTCCAGGTACTGAATGGTACTGCAAATCTGAATAAATATATGCAACTTTTGCCTCTGCTTGACTCTGGTGAAGATTTCAAACCTGGCAGAAAGTGCAAGGTGGCCAGCTGGGGAGTCTCATCTTCAGGAAAGCCATCACCATGTCTTCAGGAAACAGCTGTTACAATCATTGACAGAAGAAACTGCAAGAGCAAGTACATAAAACACATGAAAATAAGCAGCAACAAGTTATGTGCTGGCGGCAAAAACGTATTTTCAAAGAGAGAAGCTTGCCAGGTGAGAGTTATGAACAGGAGTGGATTTTGCTAGGAACAAAGCAGCACTAGACACTTCTGAGGCTGACCAGACTGACGGGGAGGTTAACTACGTTTGCTTTATGGCTGTGAAAAAGAAGTGTTAAAACTGATGTAATTTAAGTCAATCTACAAAACAAGATCTAGAGTATGTGAATTTGCGTTTGGGGTTATATCACCTAACTTCAGGTACTTGTCCTCATCTAAGCTGGTTTTAAGCTCCACTTGTAGTTAATGGAGAGAAATTTGAACTTCTAAGGTCTGAATCATCTGATCCTTTCCAGGTATGCACATTTGAATAGTGCATAATTAGCTGTGTCCTCAAAAGTGCTATTTTAACTTTTCCAGTAATGTCTTCTGTGCCTAATTCAGAAGGGCCATTTGCTAAAGAAGTGAGAATGAATTTATGCCAACAATAAAAAATACCTTTTGAAAGAGAATTATTATAGCCCTGTGCTGTTCTACAACACTTTATATCAAAAGATATCTCAAGGAACCTCTATTTATACCTTTCCAAATCCTGTGAAGTATGTCAATTGATTCGTTTCACAGCTTGGAACAGGTCGGAAACGACGTTTCTGAAGGGATTTATGCACTGTGGAGGGCACTGCATGCTCATCTTGGGAGCAACAAATAAACACTGATAGTTATTCTCTCTGTTTTGTGTTTTAGGGCGACCCAGGTGGGCCGATAATCTGTGCCAGTCAATACAGTAGGATTGTTTCCTTTGGAAAAGGATATGGTAGAAGAAAGATGCCTGGAGTTTATACACGACTGACTGAAAAATATCTTGACTGGATAAAAGAAGTAATTTTCCTTAACAGAGATCCATGGGACAGGCATGACAGTTTTAATAAATACTATGCTGTGTATTAGAATTTGATGATGCTGTTTCAGTGAGCTGCTTTCACAAAGTACACCCCAACTTTACACCTTTACAAAGAACACCACAGCTTTATGAGGTCAGTTCAAGATATTTTCCTTTTTACAGATAATGCTTACTCATTTTTAGTAGGAAACTGCCAAGAGTCTTAGATAATACAGCTGGTATTGAATTTCACCGTACTTTTTAGTATGATGGAAATGGACTGCTAACCTTATTCATTGTTCCTGGGATGAAGCAACATTTTTGAATGTGTGCTCCCAGAAAAATTCAGTTTCACATTGATGGTGAATGAGATAGTGAATGAGATGTCTGCTGAATGAGAAAAAATAGGAAAAAAGCTTTAATTGTTCAAATATTTCATTTTGCCATTTTTCAGGTCCAAATATTTCAATTTGCATCACAAAGTAACTAAAATAATTAGCAATAATTTAATTTAACTAAAATAATTTACAGAGGATTAAAAATAAGCAGATAGATGAACATTTTTCCAAGTAATCTTCTGTTAAGTAAAAGAAAAAAAATCATTTCTCTTTTCTTCTAATTTATTTTTCTTTGATTTTTTTAGTTACATGATCAAACCAACAAAATCCTCTCTTCTCAGAGTTTGATTCATGATGTCACCCTTCCAATGCACATCTGTTGGAAAAGCATAAATATTGCTAATATGATAAAAGTAATTGTGATTCTCTAATACAATGCCTATCTAACATTTATCAAAACGAACAGGAATATTACTGTTGATTTCAGTGGGTTTTGGGTCTAAAAACAGAGGAGCCTGCTGTGTTTCTGCATAAGCCTGTAGTTAGCTGGGTGTGTTCACACTACCTTCAGAATTTTCCCTTTTTCTTTGTTTGCCAGCAGTTTAAAAGTGATTATCTGCAGGGTTTCTGTGGTTCTTTGGTTATTGTATTAATGTATTGAATACTGCAAAGTTTGGGAAGTCACAGAGGCATGAATTTGGCAATAAACTCAATACTTCTAATACGTCATTGTACGGGTTTGGTTACTGATCAGCAGCCAGCTCACTGATCTGAGAACAACAATACTGCTCATAAAGGCTATTCAGAGAAAGGAGCAAATGGAAATCACAGAGGTGGCTTGATAATTTGTCATGGTATAATAAAACTTGGCTATATAAGTTATGGAGGGCTTCATCCAATTCTCATGGAAGGTCATGGAAAGTTCTTAAAAGATGCCACTGAGAATTGGCTGGAACACAGACAGAAATTGGGAAAAATTGGGAAAAACATGCAGACTGTATTTAAAAGTGCAAAGTATAATATATTGCTGTTAACCCTTTTCAGCTGGGGATCTCAAAGGATGTTGGAGACAGAAATTAGTCTCTTTCACCTTTGAAAGGTAAATGACAGCGAGGGTATCCTACTTACCTGCCTACCATGGGGATGGGACACTATTTTTTGCGTAGCAACATAATCTCTAAGCGTTTAAGATGGAAAGTGAAGAATACTGGGTAGGTTGTATAAAGAACTTAAGCACTTAGGCATTATAGCGCCTATCTTTTTGGCAGTCTGAGAGTGGAAGTGAGGTGTTTGTGCTGGGCAGTGGATATGCTTGTACGGGAGTGCAAAAAGAGCGGGGTACTTTAGCAAAGGATGTGAACGCCGGCTGTGCTAAGCGTGGAGTTCCCTTCGGCTAGTCAATGGGGACTGCTCATCAGCAGGCTGAGTCCGAAATTCTGCCCTTGCCAGTGAAGCGTGTACCCTGCTGAAAGGTTCGGGGAGTGGTCTCCATCCATTTTAGACAAGCAGCCCAGAGCCCTCTCCTGAGCGGAAGGTGCTAGGAGCACGAATGGCTGAACCCAGTCCACTTTTCTCTCAGAGCAGCAGAGGAGGTGCCCACCATTTTAATCTCACCTCATACTTGGAATACAGCAAGGCAGTTCTGAGAAGCACCACATCAGACGAAATATTTCCTGTTGTGTAATTCACAGCTGTAGCCTCTTGGAGATTTTATATGTATATGCTCTCCATTTCTGGTAATCAAGGAATCATGGATCAGCTAAAAGCCAGATATAAAATGTCTCAGAGGATCTCTGAAATTCCACCTATTTAAACTAATCTAGAGAACAGTTTTTATTTTGGCTGGGGCTTTTATTCTAGCTGTTCCAGCTTGTTCCTTTTCTTTTTCCTCTTGCACCTCCTAAGCTCATGAAAATGCTGTTTAGCATGCATTGCATCTCCTAACTTTCCTGCTCAGCTTTGAGCAGATACCACACAACTGAAATGAGAGAGGTAAGTGCATAAGTAGTGAGTGATGCTTGAGAAGTGAGTCTGAAGGAAAGCTGGCAGTGTATAAGGCTTTTTGAAGGGGATAGATGTTCCCATCACAGGGAGGGCTGTTCCACAGCTTCGCCACCTTGCCAGTGGAAATGAAAGGGGAGTTTCTTTCCCACAACACATGATTGCGGGTTTTCAGCTTTCAGAGGCACACGGTCTGCAGAGAGACCTGTTCTCACTGCTTCCGTATGGCATTCTGCTGCATTTGGACTGCATTTCATCCAGCTGACTGGTTGTTTCACTGAAGATTAATCTGAAGATTAATCTGAGAGTCATGGCAAACTCTCATTGCCTTCAGGTTCAGTGTAGTAAGGTTTGTTAATCTGCTAATCACAGCTCTGTTTTCCAGCAGTAAGGGCCTTTTCACAGCCTGTAGCCCAGTAACATTGCTATTTAATCTCTTAAAGGAGAAGTATTCACTCATTTTGTTTAAACTGAACAAATGCTGTATCTTCTTGTTGTTGATGGGTAATAATGAGCGATTTGATCTGGAAACCAAGCAAGTTAATTCCCATTTAGATACCATGTCGGGATTTAAGTGTGTGTTATCTCCTGTAACATCTTCACTTCATTTGCATCACCTTTTCTTCTTCTGTGGGAGACATAGCAGGAGGAAGGGCATAATTATTGGGGCCCTGTGGGCACCCCCCAGCCCTTGCTGTCCCAGCCTCCCTGGGGCTTCCCCCCTACCCAGCCCCAGGCCCCTATTTCAGCCAAGTGTGGGGCCATCAGTCCTTGCCCTGCGACTCCACAGTGGTGCTGGGCTTCAGCCCCGCCATGGCTCTGCCCTAGCCTGGCCATGGCAAAATATGTGACAAAACTGTACTAAGCTCAAAGGCAGTGAAGGAAAGCCAGCAAGAATAGAGAGTGTCTATTCGCCTAAAAAGGCTTTGGAAAGGATAGTAGTCCCAAGGAGACTTTTTGCAAACTATTTTGCTCTGGTTGTGCTCACAGGGTGCACAGTCAGGAACATCATGATCTGAGAAAAGTTTTTAAGTTGCTACTGTGGGAATACATGGGAGAATTCAACATAGCATAGAGGGATATCTACACTGCAAGCGATATTGTTATACTATAGTCTACAGCATGCTTTGGCTACCTACTTGACTCTGGTGTTTTGGGGCTGAAGCAGGGCTACACGTGTGACAAGTTGCTATGGCCTGCTCTCGAGGGCCAAGTCTCCACAGCTTTATCAATTTCCATTCCCTGTAGGTTGCTGTGTGAGGGGTTGGGGGCTGGTAGTACATGTACGCCTGTGTCTTATATGTATGCACACTCACACATGGCTGCATATACATAATATCAGATCTCATCTTGTTCGTAATAAGCAGGTTGCTTTTTTAACACAGAGAAATGCTGGCATGCATGCTCTGGTTGCATGCAAGTGAATAGATCAGTGCCTGGATATTTGGCTAACAGGCCGAAGGCTGAATGCTCACCTCCAGCAGTACCTGCATCCAATAGCTCCACAGCTGCATGTTCACCAACATCCTTCAGTCTGGTTCTTGACACTGAATATAAATGCCTAAAAGTTTGGTGGGCAGTAAACCCACCCACGAAAACCCGAGGTGATAAACCTCCTTGTGATTATACCTCCAATCCCAGCGTCCTGAGAGCGTGCTTGTCCATCAGCCCCTCTGGGTGACAAGCATAACAAATGCAGCCTGGGCCAAGTAGCATGGTAGGAGTTTTGCAGCTGGGCTGTCTCCTTTCTGACCAGGCCTCGAAAATTTCCTGCAATTCTGTATTTTCTTAACAACCACAAAAGTATGTATGGACGGATGATAGGTTATGCAGTAGAAGGTAAGCCAAGTGCCAGGAAAAGGTTAATGTTGGCTAAATGAGGTGACCACCAGTGCATTCACTGTTGAAGTCACACGCCGGGCCAATTCTCAGAACTGAGCTGGAAACAGCAAAGCCACAGACAGTAACTCCAGGTACCTAACAGTTGTGCAGTAACAGATACCCACAGAACCTAATAAAATTAAGCTAGGAAAGCATTCTCCTTTTAAAACTGAGAGGAGCTTATATGCAGCACCTTGCAGTGGGGCTCACTCCAGATTTCAGTTTCTAGCATTTGTGATCCCAAGTACCTTCAGTATGAGAGGTCTCATCTCGTCTCTTTTAACCTGTCACACCTCAGCACTAGTCTCTAGGTGGCTATCAGGTGTCACCTTTCACATTACTTCCCAATTTCCAAATATTGGCTTGTTATATCAGACCAGCTTCCCTTTGCTGTCCGTCTTTACCTTTACTAGGAATTTCTCAGTGGATTAAGAGAGTCCTGCCCCTGGAAGACTGCTGGCCTTTGCCAGGGCCGGGCTCCCATCCACACTGCAGCTTTGCAGCTTGGTCTCTGCTGAGTTCACTGCTTTGTCCAAGGTTTGTGACTATTGCTAGTTTTGCTGAGCTCTTCCCGATAAGTGACATTTCTTACGGAGTACATGCTGAGGAGTCTGCCGTGCCCTTGGTCACCTGTCAAACAATGACATCTGGGGGTGGAGGGCAGCCCCTAACCAGGACGCGCACTGACACAGCGTATGGCTGTGTCATACGTCCTCCATACAGAGGACGTATGACCTGACGTGGAGATACAGTGCTGACAGAGGGCCAGCAGCACTCCAGCCAACAGAGGGGGCTGACAGCTCACGTTCACACCCGGTGCGGGGTCACAGATGCGAGTCAGCTTTAGT